ATACTGGCACCTTAGGTTGTAGGAAAGATTTGTAAAAGTGCACGAGGACATATAATGAGATAGGTGCTTATCTGTATTTGGCTACATCTTAAGTTGCTAAAATGAGCTTTGTAAATCAGTCTCCTACTGGTTTTGTTTTTCCTCTTCAACGTTCACCGTGCTTGCTTTCCCTGAGTATCTATTTAAAGGAAGACCTGGGGCCATTGGTGGCTTATGGGAATTTCACGCCGTTCCCCTGCCCCTGTGCCCTCCCCGCTCGCTGTGAAAGTCCTGCTCTTGGGAGGGCCAGCTGAAATGGCACGTGTTTGACAGCGATCTCCTGGCTGCCACTGTCCCTTGCAATGGACAGGAGATTGTTTTACGGAATATTCTCATTCATTTTTGTGGGAGTAACGCATGAGGTCGAGTTCTGCACTGAAATAGTAACTAAGTCTTTGCATTCCGTTTAGTTTTGTGATGCTTAATTAAAATAGCATGGCTGTGGGTCTGCATTTTGCCATCTAGTGCTAGGCACAAGAGCAGGTAAAGAAAAGAAAAGCGTTGTATCTTTTGCACACCCTTTTTTTTTGGCGCCTGCCTGGCCCTTACTTCTGGCCAACTAATGCAACTGTTCCTTCCTTCAGGGAAGGAGAACAAAGATTAGCCGGATCCTCTGTTTCCTCCCACTGTGCACTCCAGTAGATACCCAGGTCAGGAGAGGGACCACTACAGGACCTCTCTCACTGGGGTAGCAGCAACTCATCCTGATGAAACACTGCTGGTGGCTTACCTGGACCAGAGAAAGCCAGACAAGTCAGCGTGGGGTCATCCTCCCCACGCATTTGTGTCCCAAATACCCTGTACTCACGTCAGCCACCCCGGGTTACATGGAAAAGGTTTGGTGCCCCAGTTACAGCATGCCCTGTGGTTATGGTCCAGAGGTCACACATTTTGTATTTGTCTTTTAGATGACTTAATGAACATGTCTGAACGGTGCAAGGCAGCATTGCATCAGAGATATACAGGCTTTGGTACAGGGTTAAAGAGGTAGGGAAGGTTTTCTGTCTGCACTTCCAGGCATGTGACTACAGGGTGAACTGAAGAGGTAGAAAATTGACAAATTAATCTAAAATGAATCCAATTGCAACAAAGAAAATAAATCCTTCGTGAAACCTGTCACGTGCCATCAGTAATTCATTGTTGGACAGACCACAAAAGGAGATCATTCCATCAGCTGCCTTGCTGTATGTGACCTTGATTTAGCCGGCAGGTGAAGCTGGGAGCGGTGGCCTTACCTTGGCATATCTCTGGCTTGGCCATTCAGAGCCGTAAGACTAAGAACCGTGAAGCTCTTGATGGTGTATTTCTTTCCTGCAGCTATTATCGCTTACTGATGAGTCAGTGCGTTTTAATCTAATGGGGAATTTTTTAGTACAGCTGAACCAAAGGGTTTGAGTGGATGAAAAAGAGGACAATACCATCAAGAAAATCTCTGCAGCTTGGCATCGAGCTTTGTTGACAGCCAAGGGCAACTTAATCAGTTATTTGGAAAATCCTGCCTACTGATAAATAAAGGATTTGGGAAAAATACTAAGCAATGCTCATTAAGGCATTCATTGTATTTTTCATTGTTTGTATAGCCCTATTGTCTTGCTGTACCAACGTAGTTAAAGGACTAGTGATATTAGTAGGAATTAACGTTGTTAATTCCTGCT